AGGGTGCTGCATTTAGAAAAAGTGTATTTTTTTTTTTTTTTTATCTTAGGCAATCTGGTTTACTTTATTTGAAGAAAAACTAAATATTTTATATAGGTGATGTATTCATAATAGTTATACTATCTCAACCAAAGATAAACCTTATCTAGTTTTACATACACAGTTTATGGCAAACCATTAACTGTTATATTGTACTTAGATGCAACCCGCCAAAGCTATACTTGACCTCCTCCAGAGATCTGAAAATTATATCAGACTTATTTTCTCCAGAATCAACAGTTGGCGTGTAGTTAGCCTTGTCAGAATTTCTACCCTACAATAAAGTACTGCCAATCTGATAATATTTTCTTGTAGAGAAGCAAAAAAGAAAAAAAATGATATAAAAAAAGTGGTGTAAAAAAACAAAAACATATACAAAAACGGGTACTAATATAAAAGGAGATTAAAAACAAAAATAAAATCTAAAAGAAACTATTACTAGAGAGAAGAAAACCTGCTAACTAAGTAAAAACTTCTAACTATATAGAGTAATGAACTACTCATATTATATTATTGCGAGAATTATAACACAAAAAGAAAAGAAAAAAACAAACAAATGCACTATAACTCATGCTTGAGGCTAAAAATTATATATAAATGATTACAGAATATTTGTATATCTCATTGTACTTTGCTTGACTCTTCCAGTTAAATCTATAACATTGTTCGAAAGTATAAAAACTTTAAATTCTATATGTCACTATTCGGCAACTGCATGTGTTTGTATACCCTGAATAACCTGATACATAAGATATCTAATCGGAGTATCTACCAGTTACTAATATTTGTTAGCACCATTCATTTTACACGTGTTATTTTGTCATCATATAGTTTTCTGATATAGAAGTGGTAAACAATGCCGATCTTTTGGAGAGGGTATGCCAAATTTCCCACTTTTTGTTGAAAAAAAAGGCCAAAAGTTTTGAGAAAAAAAAAATTTATATATTTGTGAGTATCTAGACCAAAGAGAATATTTCCAGATAATGCTCATCATACTAACAGCTTCTAGTACTTGTATCAGGAAGTTTTTTACCACTACTATTACCAAAATAAACCTTCTGGCTTGGATACCGAACGTGCAGGGGAGTCTACCAAAGAAGAAAAGCTTAACCCAAGGCACAAACTAGCATAGATACGTCTGCTCCTTAATATTTCACGTATATAGCCTTCGTTAACAACAACACCTAATAGGATCCACAAGTATTTTGAGTCTTTTAGTCTTCAGAACTACCAACTGCTTTTGATACGGTTTTGGTGCAAGTGATCATTGGAAAGAGTGGTAAAAAGATGTTAGGGAGGGTATATTTAGAGGGGTCTGACTGTATATTATATATACATATATATAAACAATACATAATATCCTTACTAATAATACTCTTTACAATTTATTCTTTTTATTTTTATAACAAATCAGCTATTAGCAACAACTTTTACAAAACTTTTTCTATTTAGATTCTTTAAAAAATTAGCCTAACTAGCTAAACAAAATTTATACAACTTTATAAATATTTTTTTCTAATAACTAAACTTTATATACTTTTATTTACTTATATTAACTTTAATTCAAATAATTTTATCACTATAACTTATTTTTAAGCTTTAAATTTCAAAAAAAATTTATTATATTTTACTTATATTCTATTATACAACTAACTTACTCTTTACAACCTTTTTATACTCTACTACTTTACTTATACCCAACATATAACACAAATAATTAATATTTCTTATTATAATATTTAAATAAACTACTTTTCATCTGTACTTTATAGATCTTTCATAAAGTATTTTACAATCTAGATTAAAACTTATCTAGATTTGTATAAGTATAAACAAATTTAGATGAGCTTTAACCACTCTAGTAGATTGCAAATGAATTAGAATTATAGTTTCTAGTAGTCTGAGTCTTATTCTTGTAAAATTTTGGAACTTGGCTCTGGCCGGAGAATTCACTAGTAAATCTTTAATACAAAATATAATAAAGATAAAGACAAAACCTCACCTTAAAAAAAATAAAAAAAACCAATTATAAACTCTAGACATAACAAAATATGAAATTTTAAAAGCCATATTAGTTGAGTTTGGAAAGTATAGATTTTTTTTTTGTATATTCGACTATTTTTGAAAAATTTTTGAAATAAAATTTTTAAAAAATATTGACTCTTAAATTCACTACTTTTATTATTACACAAATTAAAAAAACGAATGTTACAGTAACTTATAGATTAATTGCCCTTACAAAAAACTACTAAACCCATTAAAAACCCGTAAGTTATATAGTATATTATTTTTTTGTGAATGAATCTATAGTATACTAACAAATAAATTTAAAAGCAAAGACAAGCATTCTAATTAAATCTTTATATAAATAATTACTCTAATTGCAAGTAAATCTATTAATATTGAAAAACAAGAAAGATTTTTAAGGATTAAGAATGAAAAGCTTGTGAGTCAAAAAGGATAAAATAATTAAGTTGAAAAAAAGAAAGCATGTTGTGAGAGAAATTTATATAATTAAACTTTTAATTAATATGTATTTTGCAAATAGTTATATTATATCGATATATTATAAATATATTATTGTTTTTAATTAACATCGCAATACTTTGCATTAAATTTTATTTATGTAGTCTTTATTTTTTTACGTTTATTTTTAGTAATACTGTATTAGAAGTTGTTATTATAGAAGTTAATTCGACCATCGAAAAAAGATTTTCGCTCAAAATCAAAGCTTTAAACTAAATTACAATTGCAATCTATTGAATATATAAAGACGCTGCAAAGGGTATGCCTCGTCTTAGCTTACTAATGGCCGTCTGAAATTTCATTTCTAGTTCTGAATTTCCAATATTTTTGGCTACAGTAACCATTGCTCGTAATAATTCATCTAAACATCGAAACACTCTAATAACATGACCATCATAGTATTTAGGTGCTATTTTCATAATTTCTGCGAATGATTTTCCCTGTTTGTTATAAAAGTTTGAATTAATGTAAAATTAATAGTTACAAATGTTGAGAATGTTAATATTACATACTTGACACCAACTATGCACTAATTCCATCATGTCTGGGCAAAAACTGGCAAGATACTCTTCTTCATTTATTTGAAGCTTACATTCTACTGATATAGCCACAATGTTTCGTGCAATCTCCTGTAATCTACGATATACAACGTATAGGTCTTCTTTTAAATTAATCCTTTCTTTATCATGTTGTTCTATTACAAAACAACTGAGAAGCGCTGCTATCTTTTCAACTGATAAATCACTAAAAACACCATTTAGTAACATTTCAGTCAGAACCACTTCATCACCAACATTGATATCACACGCGACACGACCCTTAACTGTAACTATATCATCATCAGTTAAATATCCTATTCGGCGTAGAACTCTTTTACGGTGTTTAAGATCATCTAGATGTAAGATGGATTTAACATTGTTGACTTTCTTTTTCAAAGTTCTTATTCTGGCACGAAGTGCAACTTTTTTGCCATATTGCTCATATAGTGATGAAAGTTGTGGGGTATTATGAATCTTATTTGAGAAAAGCTTATCTTCAAGGACTTCGGTTTTCTAGTAATCCATAGAAAAATTATAATTGTAAATACACGCATGAGAAGTATATGCAAGAAACATACCCTTATCAGCTTGTGGAAATTTTCATCTTCTATGCCCATATCTTCAATAGGGTCTAGTGAGGCTATTCCGCCAGGATAACGTTTAATTATTACTTGAATGCTATCGTAAACACTTTGTCTAACTTGTTTAGGCGTCAAAATTTTGGGGGGAAATATACGGATTTGACTTATGCAAGACAAACTAGTTAATTCGACAGGAACAACCTGAAATTGTTCAAATAATTTGAGAGTATGAGAATAAGACATTACAAACAGACAAAATATTTTATGTTACCAGCTTGTAAGTATCTTACCATCATTTCAC